CACACCTTTGCTCTACTTTCTAAAACATTTTTCTTAATTGTTCCTAAAGATAGCTTAGTGGTAGAGCTTATGTGTAGCCTATGCAAAAGCCCAACAATATTTTTGGCAGTACTAGGGCTTGAACTCAGAGCCTCAAGCTTTTTTGCTCAAGGCTGGAACTCTGTTACTTGTGCTATGCCTCCATTTCTGATTTTTTAATGGTTAATAGAAAATAAGAGTTTCACCCATTTGTCTTCCTGGGGATAGCTTTGAGCTTTGATACTCAGATTTCAGCCTCCTGAGTAGCTAAGATTATAAACCTCAGCCCTTATTTTGTGTGCTGTTTTTATGCTGTTTTATGCTGTTTTTGAGTTTCCTGTCATATCTGAAATGACAAGCACAGGCCACCACACCTGGATTTGGGTTGAGAGATCTCTCCAACTTTGTTGCTTGGGATGGCCTCATACCTCCATCTCCTGTTCTTAGACTCCCAATTAGCTAGGATTACAGGCATGAGTTGCCAGTACTTAACTTAAAAAACAATTTTTTTGGAGTAAACACTGAAATCAACCCTGATTAATATTAACATATTTATTTTTATTTGCCTTATGTACTTCTTTTGCTCATCTTATACTTTCTGCTTCTTGTTTAGATGTGTAGTTTAGATCTTGAATTAGATTTTACTATGTAATATCTGAAAACTTTATTTTGATGGCTAAGTTTGGCCTATTTAGATAGATAGATAGATACATACATACATTTAGTTTTTGCAATGTCATTTTATGTTTGACTTTTAAATTTTTTATTTTAATTTTTTATATTTTTTTGTTGGTTGTGGGACTTGAACTCTGGGCTTGGGCACTGTCCCTGTCCTTGTGCTCTTCAGCTCAAGGCGAGCAGTCTACCACTTGAGCCCTAGTGCCACTTCTGGTTTTCTGGTGGTTTATTGGAGATAAGAGTCTCATGGAGGGGCTGGGAAGTTGGCTCAGTGGTAGAGCGCTTGCCTTGCATGCCTGAGGCCCTGGGTTCGATTCTTCAGCACCACATAAGCAAAAAGAAAAAAGCCGGAAGTGGCACTGCGGCTCAAGTGGTAGAGCGCTAGCCTTGAGCTGAAGAGCTGAGGGACAGCGCCCAGACCCAGAGTTCAGGCACCAGGACCGGACCCCCCCAAAAAAATAGTCTCATGGACTTTCCTGCCCAGGCTGGCTTTGAACTTCGGTCCTCAGATCTCAGCCTCCTAATTAGCTAGGATTATAGGCATGAGTCACTGGCGCCTGGCTTGACTTTCAATTTTATTATTTTATTTTATTTTTTCGATTGTGGGGCTTGAACTCTGGGCTTGGGAGCTTTCCTTGCACTCTTCAACACTAGGCGAGTGCTCTACCGCTAAAGCACCACTTCTGGTTTTCTAGTGGTTAATTGGAGATAAGAATCTCACAAAGTTTCCTACCTGGGCTTGCTTTGAACAGTGATCCTCAAATCTCAGCCTCCTGAGTAGATAGGATTATAAGCGTGAGCCACTGGTGCCTAGCTATTGACTTTCAATTTTAAAGCCTATAAAAATAATATGTGTGTTTTCTGGCTTGTAGTTTTGTTCTAGCCATTGTATTTTTTGCTTTTCTTTTTTTGTTTGTTTGTTTTTGTTTTCTTTTGTCAGTCCTGGGGCTTGAACTCAGGTTCTAGGCCCTATCCCTGAACTCTTTTCCTAAATGCTAGTATGCTTCTCCTTTGAGCCACAGCTCCACTTCTGTTTTTTGAGTGGTTAATTAGAGATAAGCATCTCCTGGTAGCTGGGTGTCGGTGGCTCACGCCTGTAATTCTAGCTACTCAAGAGGCTGAGATCTGAGAATCAAGGTTCAAAGCCGGCCCAGGCAGGAAAAGTCCATGAGACTCTTATCTCTAATAAACCACTAGAAAACCAGAAGTGGCTCTGTAGCTCAAGCGGTAGAGCGCTTGCCTTGAGCTGAAGAGCGCAAGGAGAGCTCCCAAGTCCAGAGGTCAAGCCCCAAGACTGACCAAAAAAAAAAGTCTCATGGGACTTTTCTGCTAGGACTGGCTTTGTACCACAAGCCTTAGATCTCAGCCTCCTGAGTAGCTCGGTTTACAGTCATGATCCACCAGCAACCCAGCTTTTTTCTATGCTCTTTCTTTGCTGAATTTGTTCTTTTTTTAACCTTCCACCATTGTAAACAGTCTCGTTTCCCTTTTCCTTTTATGTCCTTTTCTGTCTTTACTTTGATTCTAATATAATTTACTTTTCAGTATTTACCATATACTTCTGAAATAATAAGTTAATTATCATTTTCCAGCATTATAGGAACTTAGAATAATTTCCTTCTTCTTTCTACATCTTTAAAAGTCCTTGTCACTGTGGTTTTTATGGTCACTTCCTGTGTAGCTTTCACACAGCCAGCGGTTCTTACTTGTGCCTCATTCTTTCCTTGTAGCCCAGTTTTCTGCTTCCTGAAAGTCTGTTTCCTTGGAGTTTTGTTTTGTTTTTCCATAGTTCTCTTAGTTGAAATGAAGTCTTATGGACTTTTCTTCCCAGAGCTAGCCCAGAACCATGGTCCTCCCAACATTAGCCTCATGGCTAGGATTATAGGTATGAACCATTGCACTTAGCTATTGGTTGAGATAAGATCTTGTAAACTTTTTGCTTGGGCTTTTTTCAAACTGTGGCTGCTTCCATTCCCAGCCTCCCAAGTAGCTAGGATTATAGGCATGAGCCACTGTCACCTACCTCCATCTGCTCAATTTTTTTTTTTTTTTTGAGGTGGTCCGATTGTGGGGCCTGAAATCTGGGCCTGGGCGCTGTCCCTCAGCTCTTCAACTCAAGGCTAGTGCTGTACCACTTGAGCCACAGCGCTACTTCTGGCTTTTTTCTTTTTGCTTATGTGGTGCTGAGGAATCAAACCCAGGGCCTCATGCATGCAAGGCAAGCACTCTATCACTGAGCCACCTTCCCAGCCCCTCAATTTTTAACTTAAATGACTATCTTTTTCATTTTTGTTTTTTTTCCCTCATTATGTGTATGTGGTGTGTGTGTGTTCACACGCATGCATGCACTGCTGGGGCTTGAACTCAGGGCCTTGTACTCTTTGTTTTTTTCATTAAAATTGGCACTCTACCACTAGATCCACACCTCCACTTTCTGGCTTTTTACTAGTTAATTGGAGATAAGAGTTTCTTGGATTTGTCTGCCCAAGACTGGCTTTGAATCACTATCCTCTTTAGTAGCTAGTATTCCAGATGTGTGCCACTGTTGTCCTCCTGAGTGTGTTGTCCTCCTGAGTGCTGAGATTATATGCATGTACTACTATACCCAAAAGATTTTTTCTCTTGAATCCTGGCAACTCAGAGCAGAGAATGTGTTCCTCCAGTTTTTTGTGGTTTTTTTTTTGCAATTATTCTGCCATATGTTTTAGAAATATCACAAGCTGGAAGTTAATTTTGAGCTAATGCCTTTGTTTAGAAGCTTCTGGACCTTGTAGGTTGGAAAATTTAAATCTCAAACCTACCTAGGCTCAGACCACCTTTTCATCTGCCTTTGTGGGCTGGCAGCAGAGCGGCATACTGATAAATTTGTCCATTAGACTCATAGGCCAAAAGGCTTTTACTAACTATATCATCTCATCTGGTTGAGAGGCTAGGGTGTGAGTGACTGCCAGCCTGGAAAGCCTCTATCTCTTGATCATTTTGGTACATAAAAGCCACAGCCCTTTTCCTACAATTTTTTATGCTGTTGTAGTCATACTCACATGCAGTCCCCCTCAACAAAGGCAGCACATACAACATCCTTCATCTATGGTTACTCTCATTCTCAAGGAAATGGTATTGTGGGAAACCAAGGCCACTCTCAGGCTAGCAGTAGCCCTTACTCACAGTCACAGGTTGAAAGCAACTTGGATTTAATACAAGGTGCTTTATTATAGTTTCTTAGTCTGCATTGGCCTAAAGCTTTTCTTCTGCCCTGCTTAGACTTTAAAATCCCAGATGCCAAAACTAGCTCACCCCATGCTTTTCCCTAGGAAGAGCCAATATGTGATCTCTTGTTTCTGGCCCTGGTAACTTCCTCTTCTTTGAAATTCAGTTCAGCTGAGCACTTAATACATGTTTGCTCTACCTTATCAAGCATTTGTATATACTTTCAACATTTCTAAGTATTTGTAGCAGATTTTCAGATTATCCCATTCAAAATACTACATCAGAATCAACTTTAAAATTACTAAAATAGCCTGAACAGAAAGTTCTAACTGTGCCTTTCTTGAGTAGTATAATCTTTGGCAAGCATGTGGCCTTCCTGAGTGTTCTCCAGGCATTGTACTGGGTAGTAGAGCCTCCTTTGAGGCCTTGTTGTGAGTTTCAGTTATTGTCAAGGACCCCATTCAATACCCTGGCATATTTCATAAAGTTCTCCTTATCGCCTGAGTCTTCATCCTCCCTCACCACTTCCTAGACCTCTCCAGTAATGCTCACCACTGTGTGTTCCTTAATTGTTCTTCTCTCTCGTTTCTAATCCTTTATACCTTGTGTGCTTAAAAAAAAAAAACCAGCCCATTTCCCCTTGTTCTTCTTCCTCTAACTATTCTTACTAATCCCTCACATTCAGTTTCAATATTGGTTTCTCCAGGAAGTTATTCCCACTGATCCCCAGTGTGGATTAGGTCCCACAGAGTCCTGTGTGCTTCATTCACCTTGCATTTCCATTGTAGTTACCACAGCAGCACAAATGCTTGTTTGAATGTTACTTGAGAGGAAGAATTTTTAGCTGTTTTGTTCATTGTTATATCCCAAGCTTCTAATAAGGAGCTTGGCACAGAGCTCAATACATGGTAGCTATTATTCTTATCAGCACCTCCATCTGTCATAATTCTCAAATGTCTGATTGTTGTATAAATAACTCTTAAGTATGCCAAGAAGCTTAGAGTTAAATTACAAGTCTGACAAGGGCACACATTGTTTTAGATCCACATTTTAGGTCTTTGTTTTTTACTTATACAGTCATTTGCCCTTTTCATACTAGGAACTAACCCAGGAGTGTGATGAAAAGAAATCCCAATATGATAGCTGTGCAGCAGGCCTCGAAAGCAATCGGTCCAAATTAGAACAGGTAAGAAGAGAATTGTTACTATAACAATTTAGTAAATATTGGCTGTGAATGCGTTTTATCACTACATCAGTGTCAGAAATTTCCAAATCTTTATCACCATCTCCTGCCTGTCTTCTAAGCTCCATAAGTATTTATTTCTTTAAATCTTATATGTACACTCTGAACTTTTCTATTTGTACCACTACCACCAAATCCTAAATTCTGTCGAGTCTTGCTGGACTCCCACAGTGACCTTCTAACTGGATTCCTGTTTCCACGTTTGTTTCCCAAGATTTCTTTCCATTGAACAGCTAAAGAAACCTTTTGCAGTTCACAGCACTCTGCTCTGGCTTCCACTTCCACTTTGACTGAAACCACAGGCCCCCACCTGGCTTGTTTTCTTCAGATCCATTTACTATGCCCCTCATCTATGGAGCCCTTCCACACAGGCCTTCTTCTTGAACTGCAAACAGGCCAAGCCCATCTTTACTACTTCTGCACCTCGGTTTTTGCCTAGCTTTCTATATACCTTTCTATACCTCCCCCTGGAGGGCTTCCCTGACCACCCTAACTAATGTTTTCCACTCCACCCCAGGTAAGCCCAGCCTACTCTAGCCTATCCTACTTCTGACTTTTCTTCATGGCCTGCCCCCATCTGAAATATCATTCATTACTCATTTTCTTGTTTATGTCAGTCTCCTTACTTGAACAAGGTGACGAGGACCTGTCTGCCTTATTAATTGTGTGTCCTCAGCACACAGCAGACCTTAATAATGGATAACTGAACCTACAGATTTTAGAGTGATAAGAAAAGTTTCTAGAAAAGATTGCTACCTTTTTCTTATTAGAATAATTGCATATGCTTAAAAATTCATAAAAGTAAATGACTGATGGTAGATCTTTTGTTGTATATTTAAAGTCATCTCTGCATTTGTCTTACTCTTTCAATAACATTGCTCATTTAAAATGACATGTTGTAGGAAGTTAGAGGACTCCGGGAAGAGTGTCTTCAAGAAGAAAGTAAATACCATTATACAAATTGTATGATTAAGGTAAGACAAAGAAAATGGATTGAATTCTTTTCTGAGATTTTTCTGTGTCAAAGACTTCCTTGAAATTTGTCTTCCCATTTAGGACCTAGAAGTTCAACTTCGTCGCGCTACTGATGAGATGAAAGCATATGTCTCCTCCGATCAACAAGAAAAGAGGAAGGCAATTAGGCAAGCCATGTTTTTGTTTTATATTGCTACTTAATGTTTTTATCTATAAAAGTGTTATAAATGAGCTGGGAAGGTAGCTCAGTGGTAGAGTGCTCGCCTAGCATGCCTGAAGCCCTGAGTTCGATTCCTTAGTACCACATAAACAGAAAAAGCTGGAAGTGGTGCTGTGGCTCAAGTGGTAGAGTGCTAGCCTTGTGCAAAAGAAGCTCAGGTGGGCTGGGAAGGTGGCTCAGCAGTAGAGTGCTTGCCTTGCATGCGTGAGGCCCTGGGTTTGATTCCTTACCACCACAGAAAGAAAAAATCCGGAAGTGGTGCTGTGGCTAAAGTGGTAGAGCACTAGCCTTGAGCTGAAGAGCTGAGGGACAGTGCCCAGGTCCAGACCCCATGACTGGCAAAAAAAAAAAATGCTCAGGGACAGTGCCTGGGCCTTGAGTTCAAGCCCAGGACTGGCAAAAAAAAAAAAA